CCCCCCCCAAAATAAACAACCAAATTAATTCCCGATTGCCAGGGAGGGATGAATCACCGGCCCCGCGGCGACTCCCGCTTGGAAAAAAAAACATCCCAAAAAAAATAATCGGTAGCGAGGGGGTGCTCTCAGCCTGGAAATGGAGATTCGGCTGATGGAAAGGAGGGAAAAAAAACCACCCCAAAAACCGCGACGACCTCAAAAACGCCCCCCTAAAAAATGAAATAAAATAAATTAAAATGAAATAAAATAAAATAAACTCCTTCCAAATTCACCAGTGTGAGAAATGAAATAAAATAAAATGAAATAAAATGAAATGAAATGAAATAAAATAAAATAAAATAAAATAAAATAAAATAAAATAAAATAAAACCCTTCCAAATTCACCAGCGTGAGCAATAAAATAAAATGAAATGAAATAAAATAAAATAAAATAAAATAAAATAAACCCCTTCCAAATTCACCAGCGTGAGAAATAAAATAAAATAAAATGAAATGAAATGAAATAAAATGAAATAAAATAAAATAAAACCCTTCCAAATTCACCAGCGTGAGCAATAAAATAAAATGAAATGAAATAAAATAAAATAAAATAAAACCCTTCCAAATTCACCAGCGTGAGAAATAAAATGAAATTAAATAAAATGAAATAAAATAAAAGGAAATAAAATAAAAATAAAAATAAAATAAAACCCTTCCAAATTCACCAACGTGAGAAATAAAATAAAATAAAGTGAAATAAAATGAAATAAAATAAAACCCTTCCAAATTCACCAGCGTGAGAAATAAAATGAAATAAAAAGAAATGAAATGAAATGAAATGAAATGAAATGAAATAAAATGAAATGAAATGAAATAAAATAAAATGGTGAAAGGGGTTTTTGCTCCCCGTGGACGTGGATCGGCACATCCCCCGTGGATCGGGGAGGGGGGAGGGGCAGGCAGGGAGAAGACACCCCCGGGAAGCCGAGCGGGGTTTAATTTTTTTTTTCCCAGGATTCTTCGGGAAAAATGTGCCCAGCGGGTCGGGGAGAGGATCCTGATCCCTTTTCCTTGGGCCTGGAGGGGCCACACGTGGAGTGTGGGTGTTCAACTCTGGCCTGCCCGGGTTCAAAAAGGACAAGGAGGCTCCTGGGGAGGGTCCAGGAGAGGCCCCGAAGGTGAGGAGGGGTCTGGAATGTTCCTCTCGGGAGGAGGGACTGGAGGAAACTGGGCCTGGTTTGGCTGGGGAAGAAACGGCTGAGAGGGGACCTCAACAGTCCTCCTTCTCCTCCTTCTCCTCCTTCTTCTCCTCCTTCTCCTCCTTCTCCTCCTTCTCCTCCTTCTCCTCCTTCTCCTCCCTCTCCTCCT